CAGTCTTTGTGTGTGTGTGTGTGTGTATGGACTCAGCAGTCTCTGTGTGTGTGTGTGTATGGACTCAGCAGTCTGTGTGTGTGTGTGTATGGACTCAGCAGTCTGTGTGTGTGTGTGTATATGGACTCAGCAGTGTGTATGTGTGTGTGTGTATGGACTCAGCCAGGGCCGGCCTTAGGCAATTAGGCGCCCTGTGCAAAAAGTCTTCACGGCGCCCCCCCACCTCCCACCAAGTTGCCTGAATACAGTAACACACACAGGCACCGGGGACGTGTGTATCACGAGGCAAACAAGGCATCTGCCTTGGGCGCCACTTTGCAGGGGGCGGCAAAAAAAAGCATCCCTCAAAACCCCCAGGCAGATCCCTTGCTTGCCTCGCATCCTGGGGGGCTCAAGAGCTGACCGGCTGGCCACTTTTGAGCCCCCCCAAGGCTGGCAGCGGGCAGCGAAGGAGCATACTCACCTGAGCTCTTCCTGCTCAGCTTCTTCTGCGCCGCTTAATGAAGGCGGGAGCCAGAATATGACGTCAGTCCGGCTCCCGGCATCACTAAGCGCTACTTACTCAGCCTGTGCGCCCCCTGCCTGCCTGCCCAGCAGCCACACTGGACTGCTGGTAAGAAATCCACTCCAGCTTTCCCAGGGAGGCTGGGTGGATTTAAAATAAAATGTAAAAAATATTAGTTTGTGAGTGTTAGTGGAAATGTCTGTGTGTGTGTCTGTGAGTGTTTATTTTGAAGTGAATGTGTGTGTGTGTGTGTGTGTGTCTGTAAGTGTGTAATTGTGTGTGTCTGTAAGTGTGTAATTGTGTGTGTCTGTAAGTGAATGTGTGTGTTGGTCAGTGAGTGTATATGTGTCAGTCAGTGAGTGTGTATGTGTCAGTCAGTGAGTGTGTATGTGTCGTCAGTGAGTGTGTATGTGTCGTCAGTGAGTGTGCGTCTGTCAGTGAGTGAGCGTCTGTCAGTCAAAGTGCGGCCTTGACGGGAAGGGGTGGGGGAAATTTAAACTCGGTTACAGGCATGTACACACACACTCAGTTAAAGGCAGTCACACATACAGGCACAGGCACAAACAATGGCACAGCTACAGCGACACACACAGACAGACAGTCACATAGGCAGTCACACACACAGACAGACACACAGTAACACACACATGGACAGTTATACACACACAGGCAGGCAGTCACACAGATAGAAAGTCACACACACAGGCAGGCAGTCACACACAGACAGATAGTTACAGACAGACACACACAGGCAGGCAGGCAGTCACATACAGGCAGTCACACACACAGGCAGTCACACACAGACAGACAGTCACACACACAGACAGTCACACAGACAGATAGTCTCACACACACAGGCAGTCACACACACGGGCAGTCACACAGACAGACAGTCACACACACAGGCAGTCACATACATGGGCAGTCACACAGACAGACAGTCACACACACAGACAGTCACACACAGGCAGGCAGTCACACACACACACAGAGACAGACAGTCACACACACACACACACACAAGGACAGGCAGTCACACAGACAGTCACACACACACACACAGTCACACGCACACAGGCAGGCAGTCACACAGACAGACAGTCACACACACACAGACAGACAGTCACACAAACAGGCAAACAGTCACACACACACACTTACCTCTTTCCAGTGGATGCAGTTGGCTGATGGGGAAGCATCTTAACCTCTTCTTGTACAGCAGGGGCTTCGGGAGGTATTAGCCCCGTCTCCGCCTCTCGATAAGCCCCGCCTCCGCCGCTCGGTAAACCCCGCCCCCTCTGCCGCGATTTTTTTTTTTTTTAATAGACCCGGGTGGAGAATAATTAATCCTCCAGCCAGGTACCTCTTTTAGCTCCCCTGCACTCCGGCCATGAGTGAGCTGTGTCGCACAGCTCGCACACCCCTAAGGCCGGCCCTGGACTCAGCAGTCTGTGTGTGTATGGACTCAGCAGTCTGTGTGTGTGCGTGTGTGTGTGTATGGACTCAGCAGTCTGTGTGTGTGTGTGTGTGTGTGTATGGACTCAGCAGTCTGTGTGTGTGTGTGTGTATGGACT